TTTGTTGCAGCACTGGCCTTTAATAAGTATTTAGCTTAAACCTCTGCTGTGCTTCACAGAGCTGCTAGCGTGGCTGTACTCTCTCAGTCCTGTTTTAATCTATAAATTGCTGCTTTCTGTCTTTCTCATCACCAGGAGGGAGTATTCCAAGGGCTTATCCCGATCCTAAACTGCTATCTGGAAAACATGGAAGTTGATGTGGACACCAGATGCACCATTTTGAATTATCTAAAGCTCATCAAGAAACGTGCCTCAGGTAAATTTACATGAAAGGACAAAAGTTAATGTTCTCACAACCCCCAAGATTTTCTGTTTGTGCGCCGCTGAGCCATAACTCTTAATCCTGCTGATGTGCAACAGGCGAGCTGATGACCATGGCCAAGTGGATGAGGGAGTTTGTCGCGAAGCACCCGCAGTATAAGCAGGACAGCGTCCTAACTGACAAAATCAACTACGACCTGTTCAGGAAGTGCGACCGGATTGCAAAAGGCGAAGAGCAGTGCCCCGAGCTCATTGGAAACCCGGTCAACAGATTCAAATGAGAAGCGCCGTAGGAAATGCATCGTCGGTATACAAACTCGCATGTAAAAAGACCAAATATGTGGCTCAGAATGAAAGTGGTCCAATTTTAAGAGAATGCAAAAACAGCATGTGTGTGCGTGCGTGTGTGTGCGTGTGTGTGTGTGTGTGTGTGTGTGTTGCAGGAAACACACCTGCATCAAAATGTATGTATATATATATACTGTATCAGATTTTTATGATTACGAAATTATTTTAATAGGGTTAAGACATGCTGAAGGTTGTGTAATAGAAATCAGATGTGTATTTATTTTTACTCTGGAAATTAAGCCTATCTGTGTGAGAATGTAAATGTAGCAAAGAGTTGTACAGTAGTCTGCTTTTAATCCTGTGTTCTGTAAATACTGTACTTCCGCTCTTTAAAACATTAACATCATGGGGTTTTTTTGGGTTGTTGTTTTTTTTGCTGGATATGAGCTTTCTTTGCATTTAGTAGAGATCTTTTGTTTGTTTATTTGTTTTGGGGGTTTTTTGCATTTTAAGAGGAATGTTTGTTTTGCTCTGCTGTCAGTGTGTTGGGACCTTGAAGGTAGTGATGCATTCAATTGGAAATGTTGAACCATTGTTTGCGATATGATGCTGCTTCAAAAATAAATCTGTAAAACGGTAAGTTAATCAGTTTTCTGACATCTGCTTCAGATGTTTTATGGAAGGCTTTTTTTAAATTTAGGGAATGGATTAAATGTTTTATATGTTGTTTGAGCCTCCTCAAAATCCGTATCAACAAAGCATGATGATCAGCCTTCATGATCACGTCCCTCCAATCCCTCCAACTAGCCATATTAGCGGCATTTTAAGCCTACTGGAATGCCTGCAGTCAGCACATTTACATCTTTTTAATTATAGCAACCAAAGCTGCTAGTCTCAACTACAGACGTATACATAGACGCCACACTGGCCACCATATTGGACCAGGCATGACTGGTCTGTAAACAAATACTTGTACTACTAATACTACTAACGTTTACATTTCTAAACCAATTTTATTGAGTCATTTTTATAGTCAAAGGTTTATGATACATGTGGAGCAGAATCTTTTGTTCTAATTCAATTCTTCTCTGCATATATATCAAACAAATATAAGCATTGTAGCTCTTTATCTACCTACTAAATCTTACACACTTGACCTTTTTAAATAAAACGCATCCATTATGTGGTTAAATCCCTCATTGACTGACTGCAGCCATGTTAGCACCTCTCAGACTGTATTTAGGCCACAGTGCTTTGAGCTGAATGCTAACATACAACTGTTCAATAACATGTTCAGCTAAAAGATGATGTGTCAGTTGTGTTTACAGCTGGTTTCTGTTGCCCTCAAGTGGCAAACAATGAGACCTTAAGGTTTGGTCTTTCATGTTCACAATGGCAATGCTAACATAAAGGTGTTAAGTATCTAGTGTGTTCACATGGTAACATTTGCTACACAAACACAATCTATAACTAAGGCTAATGGGAATGTTATAATTAGTTCTGTATAGGTATTTGACCATAAAGTAAATTATCGGACATGTTATAATGTTGACCCGGTGATGGTGCTAGATGAACAGTTAAGGGATCAAGGTTCAAAACGAAGTCTTCATCCTCTGGGGACCATGAATGTCATTACAACATGTTGTGGAAGTTCATATAATAGTTGTTGAGTCTGGACCGACGGACAGACGGGACATTTTTGGAGCCATGCTGTTCGGCTAAAACAATGGTACAAGGAACCCCCACTGGCACTCTTTGAAGGGGAAGAAGAAAAGAAAATATGCCTTCATCCATGGGAAGGGTGTGGAGTAGAAAATACAATCATTAGGTAGAAAGTTAAGGGGGGAAAAGCATTTTTTAATAGAAATGGGCTAATACATTGCAGAAATATACGAATTATCTGTACAAAACATTCCATAATAAGATACCTGAACATGTTCATCCACAAGATGGTGGCATTGACCCACAGCTTTAGATAACATTGAGCTACAGTGACAAATAAGAGCATTGCCTCAGTTCGACCTCTTGGCCTAGATAATGATTACGGCTGGTACAGGCCCACCCTGTGGAGAGACGAGAAACTTAGATTTCTGCTGCAGAAAAAGAAGCACAGAGACTCACAATAGGATTATTGGGAGGTTATAGTGACACGAGGCCACCAAAATAACCATGAAATAGTTCACTGTAAAGTTAATTAACGCGCACCTTAGAGAGGTTAAAAGGTTACCAGGGAATTGGTTAGACACTTGATGTGAAAGCTTTTCAAGTAGTGCATATGTAGCAGGTCGGTGAATTTTAGAAACAGCCATCTGTCCCCCGCTAATCCTGTGGAGAAATAGGCCTTTTTTTTTCAGAGCGGACATCATGACTTGTAATAGAAAGCACAGGTGTGACTAATAACATTAATGGCTCCGTTTTATATTCAGGTGTCACAGTGTGGCAGGACCCTGAAACTGAAGTAGCTAAATGAATTCCACCATCACTCATTTTGTTATTCACACCTGTGCCAAGGTCAGCGTCAGCCGGGTTGTCAGTGATCGGACATTATGCAGATAACTAGAACACGTTTATAAAACCTTAAAGGACCGGTGTGCAGGATTTAGTGGCATCTAGCGGTTGAAGCTGCAGATTGAAACTAACTGAACACTGCTAGCGTCTGTATGTGACGAGCTGTGAATGAGAACCGTGTGTATATCTAGAGCCAAGAGTTTGGTTTGTCTGTTCTGGGCTCTATGGAAGGCGACCTGCAGCGTGTGTAGATAAAAAACGCCTCATTACAAGGTAACAAAAACAGAATTATTCCTATATTCAGGTGATTATACACTAATGAAAACACACTTATAAACATTATATTCCATTTCTGCCAATAGATCCTCCTAAATGTTACACACTGGACCTCTAAATTGTGACTATACACTTTGCTAACACTCATAAGTTTAAGACTAGTGGTCAACCGATCCACATTACAGTCTAATATACATTGTTATCTGAACCAGTAACATGTTGTTTATATGGTTTTTTTATTTGTCAGTTTATGCTGTAGATTTCAGGATGTAACTGAAGATACAGTAAGTCAGAAGAGACGTCATTTAACTGCATTATTATTACACCAGGAACTGTTTTAGATTTAGTTTGTCATTCAGGATTGTAGAAAAGTGTTAATATTTAGGAAAGACGGTGGTGACTGAGGAGATTTAGGTAAATGTTTACAGCAGAATGTATGAGAGTTATAGTTAAACAACTTTTATGCTGATGACGATTACCTCAAGATGCCAGATAATCAACCTATTACTGCCAGTTCATACTATATTACTGCTACTGTACATATTATACTACACTGGCTCCACCTACCTATTTACCTGGTTACTTATTGTTTGAATCTGTATTCATCCCTGAATATATATTTATGAGTTTTTTCCTCACGATGAGATCGAGAGGATTTAATTTCCAACAACTGCTTCACTGTAATTGTTGTGTACGTGACAACAAAATAACTTGTTTGGAAGAGATGTACTTATGTACTGGTCTCTATCAGTAATAACATTATAGTTCACATTAACAGGGGCGGATCTAGAGAAGTGGCGGCTGTCAGTTTGGTATCAAATACTGTCAAATGTGTTTGAAAACGTAAAATTAACACATTTAATTTAATCTATTATGGCCACATTTTAGACTAAGTGGAGTTGTAAATAAAACAATTAATTGATTTATAATGCCACCTTTATATATTTCTTATATCTTTCTTCTCAATAATACAATGTTTCTGAGTTTAGATATCTTCATTTAGGGGTTTTTCGAAGTAAATATTGATAGATGTGATAGTATTTCTTACAGTCTCCATGAATATGTCGCCCTTTTTAAGTTCTTTTAAATAAAATGTAGGACTTTTACCTGTAAATAAGTATCTTTAAAGTGTGATATTGCTACTTTTATTCCAGTAAAGTGTTCCTCCACCTTCCTCCACCACTCTGAGATAATAACAAAATTGTTATAAATTATTATTATTATTTATTTTTTAGCCCACAGACAGCTTTAATATCTACAAACACTCTACTGCACTCGTACTCCACATTATTCAGGTTAACAATTTACTATTAAACTCCAATTACATGACGACAGAGATAGCCTCGGTGTCATCTTTTCTTTTCTCTCTCTCTCTCTCTCTCTCTCTCTCTCTCTCGTGTGTGTGTGTGTGTGTGTTTCGTTGCAACACACCGGGTCACCTCCTGGCTGCAACTCTCCTGCAGGGCAACGGGCCAGTCTGCGTGTTCCTCCCACTATTTTCCACTGAGCGACAAGGCTGCACATTGTGCTCAGACCGGCCAGCCAGCCAAGGTTACACAGTCGTTCTCTCTCTCTCTCTCTCTCTCTCTCTCTCTCTGCCTCTCTCTCCCTCTCCCCCCCCTCTCTCTCCCTCCCTCTCTCTCTCTCCCTCTCCCCCCCCCTCTCCCCCCTCCACGCCTCCTCCTCGCCTTAAAAAGGTAGGCAGTCCACGGCAACACAGCTGCATCCCTTCATCCACACGCAACATTTCGCTCTCTTGAAGAGAAACCGGGAGCCGGCTAGGGGGGTTGACTTCATGGTAAGGCTTCTTCTATTATTATTTTACATTTATTTTATTTCTAAATGTTGCAGCGCGCATGGCGTCTGTGCAAAAAAGCGATGAGTTGATGGGTGATGCTGAAGCGGTGACCTCTGCTGTTACTGTTACAGCCTGGATGCGATCGACATGATGCGATTAAGTTTTTTTATTTGTAAAAAAAAATAAAAAATAAAAATAATAAGTCAAATTAAAAAAGCTTAATTAAAACCTCTTTGTAAGTTTCAAATGTTGACATTTAGAGGATGATGTAATAGAGACAACCGCCGACATCCGCTCAGCGCGCACATCTTTTTTAGTTGAACCGGAGACCGAGCTGCTGTTTTTTATCGGTGCCGTTACAGGACAGTTTACATGATCACTTTTATTCAATGTGCTGCAAAGAGGAAGGCGGATCTAGCACAACATACCTCATGCATTCTCGCTGCTGCATGTTCAAACAGTAAAACATGACTTTAAAAGACAGGAGATGAATGCTGCAGCACATTTATGTAGGCTAGTTATTTAACTCTTTGTGCATCAGTATAACTTATTGCTGGTTAAAACTTTTCAACGTTGCTGCTTGTGTCAGGATTTATATTTTATAATGTCTGAATCATGACATGCACAAAATGTTTTAGGTAACTTGTGGAGAGCGATTTAAAATACAATTATATATATATATATATATATATATATATATATATATATTATACAGCACATTATAGTGGATCACATCAGGGACACCCAGAACTAAACTGACATAAATTATCCTCATTTGATAAGATTATTTTGCTTTTAGATGTTTTATTACAGAAAGTTTATGAAACTTTGAGAAATAATGAATTATACTAGTATTATTTATTATTTCCAATGTCTTTCTATTGATCGCTACAGCAGGGATGTTTCTATGATTTATCAATATTCTGTAAATTTATTTTATTTTTATGCTCTTTTATGCACTCTGCATTCAAAAAACATGTCTACAAATCATTGAAAAATTTAAATGTGTGCGTCAAAAACTAAGACCAGAGTAACTGTGATGTTAAAGGTCCAGTGTGTAACATTCAGGAGGATCTACTGGCAGGAATTGAACATAATATTCACAGGTACGTTTTTATTGGTGTATAATCACCTGAGATTAAGAATCATGTTTTTGTTTCCCTAAAAAGAGCCGTCCTCTTCCATGGATTCCGCTATGTTGAACCGCCATGTTTCTACAGTAGCCCAGAATGGACAAGCTAAACACTGGCTCTAGATAGGGCCTTTCATGTCTTTCGGCCACCTTAGTTTCTCCTCCACGCTTAGAAGGGAAGATGCAGCAAATGGTATTCAGTTGGTTACAATCTGCACTTTCACCACTAGATGCCACTAAATACTCCACACTGGTCCTTTAATACATTCAGTACTTCAGTGGCTATTATTAAACAGCTGGAAAACCAAATGTAATGTTGGCCTATTTATGTTAATATCAATTTATTGGATTATAAAAGGGTTTTCTTTCACTCTCTCTAACTGGCACCCACAATTTATTAGATAAAGTTCATGCGTAAAGTGTGTAAGTGTGTGCACAGTTCACCTTGTTCACTGTTGCAGTTTTGAGCCATTGTAATGTAAAGTTAATGTCATTATGCAACGTTAGGTTTGTAATTAATCAGGAAAAAAAAGATTAATGGAAATGTATCATTATTATTATTCATTTATGAGAAAAACCCTGCTAAAGGTAAATAAAGTACTAGGGCCTGATAGTATGGAAATCTACTTCGTATTACAAATCAACAGGCAAAACAAAATACAGAAAGATTGAATTGTTGTTTTCTCCAACTGAACCTGTATGATGTGCCATATCTCCTGTACTGCAGAACATCAGACTAGTTAAGAGTGGCAGCTGCCACCTGAAAAAAAAAAAGAAGCTTGGCCACCCCAGCTGCCACCCCAGTTTGGTGTCAAATGCTGTCAAAGTCAACACATTAATTAAGATAAATTTTTAAAATAACCTGACAGAAATTAACACATACAATCATGTTATAGGGTTCAGTTCAATAAAAAAGATGTATTTGTAAAAATGTTTGAAGAAATGAAACAATTTATTGATTTTTAATTCCACCTTTAGATATTTCTATTGAATTCTTCACTAACGTGTCACAATAAGGTTTTTGAGTTAAGATATTGTCATTTGGGGGCTTTTCCAAGCAAATATTGATCTATGTGATTATTTGTGATTAAATCAGAATATATTTCTCTAGATCCGCCCCTGTTAGGAGGACCATGGTCCTAGTTTTGACTTTTAGTTATCTATACCACACAACAGTATAGATATCAATACTACACAAACATCTTGTATCCTGTATCACAAAGTCATTTTTATAACAATATCTTAATATAGTAAAGTTTATGGTGAAACTGTAATTGTTAAACTGATGAATGGTCTGTTTTTAGCTAATCCAGTGAAATTAAAATACCTAAAAATCATTTAAAAATGACAATAAAGAAGTCCTGCTAACTGATTTGCAGCATTGTCCGCTATGGCCTCATACAATCAAACAGCATGTTAGTGTTTGAATAAATCATTATCAGCTGCCGTGATGAAACCACAGTCTAAGTCCTGATGATGTATTAGTGTTTTGGGTAGATCCAGCCTCTCCTTTGATAGTTGCAAATACTCACTGACTGGCTGCTAACATGCTCTCCTGTTGTGGCTCATCATGCTCTGATTAAAACCTTGCAGATTATCATGTTTCGGTGCAGCCTAATGCATCTCTGATAATCAGAGCGTGGATATTACTCTACCGGGGTTGATCAGAATAAGCCATATTTTGTTCCTGTAGACAAGTGATTATGGAAAAATGCAGCAATCAGTAATGTGCTATTTGTTGCCTGGGTAGCAGTTCACCATAACATGCAGAGTTTGGTGAATTGGGATAGATATTGCACTATTATTGACTGAATTTAAGGAAATACCTCTTTAAAAATAAATGTATTGAATGCATGTAAACAAAGTCACTGGTGTGCCCCCTCAGTTCTCTTAGTCATATTTCAATATCATATGACTGTATATAAGAGCAGCATGCAGATTGAATTGAGATGCTTTAGCTAAATTTGATATATCTACTCACATTTCTGTCCAATTTGTCCCAAGTCCAAGGTTATTAGTCAAAATCAGATTCATTTATTTTATTTTCTTAAATTTTCTTCAGAAATGTGTCTTTGTTGGAGAAACAGGCCAACGTTCACGTGGCCCTCCGTCATATATAGATTGAGAGCCACAATATTATCTCAAATCTGAAGGAGGCATTGTAGAAGGAAGACCTACACAGAGCAGACTAGAGTTCCCTATTTTATCTCGTTATGTCTCCAGCTGTAGGCGCAGGTGTACTGTCCAGTGGTGCAGCGGTCTGTGATGTAATAGGACTGAATTGAATGTATAGCTCGGAAACACGTCAGTGGAAACAAAGAATGCAGACATACTGCGATTTCTGTGGCTGCTACTAGGGATTTTGTGCAAAGCCTGAAGTGATACAGCAGGGTCTTGCAAACAATATAAAGGTCTGCAGGACTGTGCAAACACCTCTGGGGTGATAATGAATAAAGAGTGTGTGCCTGAGAGTTATCAGGTTTACAGCAAGAAAATCAGCTGCAGGGATTTGTAAAGCTTTTGCTCGGCAGTGTGAATAATCTTGTCACAACTTTATATGAGATTTAAAAACCAGAATGGTTGAAAGCTCCATAAGTGTTATGATTTACAGGAGGTGAGCTTGGAGAAATGTCCTCTATAGTAAAATCATGACTGTGCAACCTTACATTCGTCCTTGCTTATATGTCAGTCAAAGTACTTCCTGAGGTTTGACTGTGCTGTGAACTGTGAACACGTCCAGACAGTTGTGTAAATGGCCTTCTGCTTTATGTCACCAGATTCATCTGACTGTCACATAGCAGTAGAATTTGTTATATTGTAAATTATATATACTATTTATGGAAAAAAGCACTTACCTCTGGGGGGAATATGCAGAAAAACAATACTTTTTACTTTTCCCTTCCACGGGCAGTTGTTTAAATCAGTACTGAATACACCATCTTTGTGTCAAAACACTGACAAAGGACAGTGTGATCAACAGATGCAAACAGTAATGCACTACCACAGCTTTGGCAAGAGAACATGCACAAAGGTTTAGAGAAGTTTTTTGTCAAAGTAAATGTAGCAGCACTGCCCGGGCCAAACATGTGTTTATGAAAACCTGGAGCACATTAGTTGTAATAAATCTACACGTTTTGACATCCTCATTACCTTCAACAGTCTTAAAGCCAGCGAATCGCTGTACGGAAGTCGTAGCTGAGTGGAAATGTGGTTATCGTCTGTAAACACCTGCCTGCTGACTTGTTGTTTTATGTCCCAGAGTGAGAAGTTGCCACATTTGATCTGTTGTTTGAAACCACAGGAATGTGAAGGATCAGTTATTGGGACGTTTTAGAGGGCGCGGGTGGACAGGCTGGAGCACAAACAGACACAAAACACAGATGAGTGTAAAGACAGTAACACTAGAAAATTAACAGAGTAATGACCGACTAGCATCAATGATAAGAAGAAGAGTAATAACATCAGCTGTTATAATATGCTTGTATAAAAATTGACTTTCATTTTTGGTTTAAACGCTACTAATTAGAGGTAATCATAACTGATGACTGTTGTTATGATCACTAAGCCTTAAAGCCCTCTTTCAGGCAGATTCATTAAGCTTATCATACGTAAAGCTGCACTAATAAAAATGTATATTTATAAAATGGGTCAAATGAACATGTGTAATGTAAAATAGACACATATATCCGCAAGCGGAAACGATCCTGATCCAAGCAGGTTGCGACAAGAAGAAAACACAGAACTTACATTAAATACTTGAATGAATCACCACATTGGCCAACTAGGGATTCAAACCATGGACCTTTGTATCCCCAAAACAGGTTACTTATTGACTGCACCAGACAAGACATAGTTTTCAACACATATTCTCACAAGTGAGGCACTGGTATCAAATGTGTTCACGGTGGAAACATTTCCTTTAGGTCAGTGTTATATTCGTGAGCTAAGATGCAGATGAGTTGATAAAATAAAAGGACAAAACAGTTTAAACTATTTTTTTGTTAGAATTAGCAAAAAAAAAAAAAAGCTTTCATTTTAACATTACAATGGATGTGGAACATGTAATGGATGTGAGTTAGCTTTAATTATGCATTCTGTTTTTTAGGTGACAAATGGAGACCTTCAATCATAAACTGAACACTTACTTAGAGTCATGGATGGGTCCCAGAGGTAAGTCAAGTTTATATTCTTATCTCAGTAGCCGAATATAACATTTATTTGAGGATCTATTGGCAGAAATAGAATATAATATTATAATATAATATTTTAGTTATTGTATAATCACTTGAATGTAGAAATCATTGTGTTTTCGCTACCTTGGAATAAGTCAGTTTTATCTACAGATTTATCTATTTTATCCAGTACCACAGGTTTCCTTCCATGGAATCCCCTTCCTTCTACTGTACAAAAATTTAGCCAAAATATCCTGGATATGGTCACTGCCATCTTTCACTACTCTGAGCCAGAGTCTGTGCAGTAGCAACTGGGGTTGGTGCTGGGGTATCGAAGTCCCTCCCATACGTCTGGACAATTCAATCTCGAGCAGGGCTCAACTGTCAATAATGACGTTAAACCACTTTTTTATAGCTTAAAATAACAAATTAAAACCAAACTGATCAGAAAACACATCTGCTAATGTAGAGGCTTTATGACCTATATGGCAGTCAGCCACTAGGGGGGCAATCTAGATGTTTTGGCTTCACTTTTGGAGAGCTGTCATGTCGTCCATCTTTATATATGTTGATGATGAACCGCCATGTTTCTACAGTAGCCCAGAAGGGATAAACTATAAACTGACTATAGGGGCTGTTGCTCCATTTATAATCATGCTTTCCAAACCTATATCTGAACTTTGGTTGAATGACATGACATGGCATTAAAGGTACTGCTCTGGAGTGGTTCAGGGTTGATGTATCCTCCTCAGCACCTCTCCCTTGTGGAGTCCCACAGGGTTCTGTTATTGGGCCAATCTGTTTTTCCCTTTATATGCTTCCCTTAGGGTCCATTCTCAGAAAATACGGCATCTCGTTCCACTGTTATGCAGATGATACACACATTTACCTGCCTCTGAAAGAGAAAGATGCAAACTCCACAAGAATGTGTGTCTGATATGTAAAAGTGTCATTTTCCATATTAAAATCTACTCCTTCTACCTCATTAAAAAAAATCCAGAGACTATAAATATGCAAACATCCAACTGTAAGAAGAATGTATTTTTGATTGTAGGAGGACTTTAATGAGAGCAAAACTGAAGTCCTGATATTTGGACCCAATGGTGTCTCTGATGCCCCTCATATGGATCTGTGTTCCCTGGAACCATATAACCAACCACCCACTGTAAAAAAACAAATGGATTTTAAATTTGACAAGCACATAAACTCAGTGATCAACTCTAGCTTTTGTCCAGCTGATGCTCTTATCTAAGGTCAAGTCCTTTTTTATCTTTTAGTGATTTTGAAAGGGTTATACGTGCCTTTATCTCGACCTGATTTGACTACTGTAATGCACTTTATGTTGTTGTGAGCCCGGCCTTCATCTCATGCTCACAGTTGGTCCAGAAAACTGCAGCTCGTGTTTAAACAGGAAAACATAAGCAAGAGCACACTTCCTCCCTTCACTGGAGGCCAGTATGGATTGTTTTTAAGATTTTATTGTTTGCTTAGAAATCATTAAATGGGATAGCTCCAGCCTATTTGCTCTGACTTTTTACAACCACACATCCTATATAGCTCACTCAGGTCTGCTGACCATTTCCTTCGTGTTGTGCCAAGATCAAGGTTGAAGCACAGAGGAGATCGAACCTTAAGCCCCCAAACTCTGGAACAAGTTACCTTTACATGTTAGGCTGTCCCCTGTACACTGTCTGGTTTTAAATCCTACCTTACAAGGCATCTTTACTAGTTAGCTTCTAACTCATTCTAAGAACTGCCTTTCTATATTATTATTATTATTATTATTATTATTATTATTATATATTATTATATTGGTCTTTATTGTTTTATTGTGTTGTTTCTATGGTTTTTTGCTATTTTTGATTGTACAGCACTTCGGTCAACTGTTGTTGTTTTTAAATTTGCTTTATAAATACATTTGAATCAGAAACACTGGATTGGTGTTACCAATAAGGCCACCTTATCAGCCTCCTCTTGATCTAGTCTACAGCAGTGATAAAAACTGGCCTCTTTATCTCCATATTTCAGATCAGCGGGTGCGAGGATGGCTGCTGCTCGACAACTACCCACCAACCTTTGCACTCACAGTCATGTACCTTCTGATCGTGTGGATGGGGCCCAAGTACATGAAACACAGGCAGCCGTACTCCTGCAGAGGCCTCCTGGTGCTCTACAATCTGGGCCTCACACTCTTGTCCTTCTACATGTTCTATGAGGTAAACAGACTGCTCTGCACTGAGAGACGTGTTGAAGTAGCCCAAAGCGATCACTGCAACATCACACTACAGACAAATTATAAACCGATCTGAGAGCTGCATAAAACCAGATATACAGGAGTCTATATGTGTTTGTTTAATGAAAAGAATACTTAAAATAAGCTTATTAACTTAGGGTTAGATGAGAAGATTGATACCACTCTCTTGTGTAAAAGAGGAAAACACCAAAAAGTAAAACCACAATTTTAACCTTAGATTTTTTTCACTGTCTCCAGTATTTGTGCCGAGCTAACCAGCTGCTGGTTTCAGCTACATAATGCTAACTTAGCTTAGCATAAACACTGGAAACATAGGAAACAGCTAGCCTAGCTCTGTCCAAAGGTAAAACAAAATCTGCCAGCACCCCTAAAGTTCATTACAACACTATCTCGTTTGTCTTGTTTCTATATAAATGACAAGTTGTTGTTTAATTTTTGTTTTAGGTGTTTTGTCTTGCTAAGTTCTCCCTGCTAAGCTAATGTAGCTTTCTATTTAGCGGACAGGTATGTGAGTGGTATCAATCTTCTTATCTAATTCTCAGCATGAAAACTAATCAGAGTTTTTCCCAAAAACATTTAACTAACTCTAACACAGGCCTGTGGCTCTCGCTGAAAGCTACCGTTAGAGACAGTGCTATCAGGGAGTGAAAGGGACACAGCTGGACGCTGACAGGCTCATTGTTTCAGCCATCAAATCCCTCATATGCCCTCACAGACATCAGCACAGCCCCCTATTGTTTGCTGGAAAACTGCTTTTTATAAACAGCTGACTAAATAACTGAAATTGATAGAGGCACTGATGTAAACAAACATTAAACTGCATTCTTATTTTGCAATGAGTCTGATGTTTAAGTTGTAGCAGTAGTGCCCAGACTAAATGTAAGGTAAATGGTAAATGGACCTGTACTTGTATAGCGCCTTCTAGTCTTTCTACTCAAAGTGCATTTACACTACGTGCCACATTCACCCTTTCACACACATTCACTCAGTGATGGCAAAGTCCATCGAACAGAAACAGAAACTAACATTCATACACACTCACACACACCGATGCACGGCATCGGGAGCAATTTGGGGTTCAGTATCTTGCTGGAGGATACTTCGACATGTGGCACCAGGAGCCGGGGATCGAACCCAACGAACGACCCGCTCTGCCTCTGTGCCACAACCGCCCTCATCATATATCATCAATCATAAGGATTCAGTCATGAATAGTTTTCTGTGCACGTCTAAAGTATCTGTACTCCACATCCAGCTGGCAGAAAAAGTTTCTTGTCTTTCGATCTGCATTGCGTAAGGCCCTGTTGGACTTTTGGCTGTGTGATTCATTGAAGCGTGTACTCTGACATGCCCCGGCCACGGGGGGTGAACTTTTGGCAGTCCAAAATCAATGCCACCTGATGTGAATCAAAGTACAGGGCAGTTTTGTTCTTGTCAACTTTCCAGGGCACAGAGGTTCATCACATAACGATTGTGATTAAAATTGATTGTGATTAATTTTGTTTATTTATAGGCTGACTGACGCTACTGTGGGTTTTAAGAATCAAGGAGGTATATTAAGTTAGACGGGGGCTAACATCTGTGTTGTTTAAAAACCAAGCTTCACTTCACTCTGTTGCTGGTTCTTAACTGGTGACAGTTTCTTGGCTCTGAGGTTAGTAAGTGAAGCCTTTTACAGCAGCAGACAAAGACAGCAGATCTATATTGATTTGGTGAATCAGCATTAAGCTATGCCATCGATGTGCATTTGAATATTTATTCCTTAAAGGGACAAGGATTGTACACATTTAGATTAGTTTAGATGTCTTTTGTGGCTTTTGTCATGTCTATAAAAATTACCCCGATGATGTCAACGTCTTACTGTGTCTAATTTAGTATCGTGTTTTCTTGAATGCATGTTTCAACTGTGAAGGGACTGCATGTGGACTCATACTAGGGACTAAAAGTGAGCATAAAATCCAATAATAGTACCCCTTTAATATGCAAAAGTATAGGGAATATAAACAGTAACTACACAGGTATGGAGAGATCGTTACTATTGAGTATTTTAAATAGGAAATCCTGTATTTGCACTTTTCTTAGTGCACCCGTGTGTAAAAATGCATTAAAAATCCTTGGTGGATTAGCTTTCAGTACACTCTGTGATAACATCCAATTCCTAACATCATATCATCTATTATATCTCAGTAGCTGAGTGAGATAATGGTGTTTTTATCTTTAATTAGGTCAAATATTTGTAACCAACGTTAGCAGCTAAAGATGAAAGATATGGGTGATTTGACCTGCTATCTGTCTGTGCATGTGTTTATTACTTCTAAGGCGTAGACAGTCACATTTTACAACACTGTATCTTTTGACTTTCACTTTTGTGCATTGCAGTGTCTGTGTGTGTGTAGCTTATCTATTCAGAGATTGGAGGAAAGTATCTGTTCTCCATTCATCTCAATGGCTTTTTCTCTTTAGCTTGTTAGCGCTGTGTGGCACGGTGGCTACAACTTCTACTGCCAGGACACTCACAGTGAACAGGAAGTGGATAATAAGGTGAGGTCAGATCAACGCAGTGCAACCTTTTCTGTTTATCACTGGGGATTTTATCTTCATTTGATTGCATCTTTCAGGTCATTTCATTATAAAGTTATCGATTCCCCATTCTGTTAAACAGTACACTAAATGTATACACTGTAGGACAGCGAGAATACATATATAATATTCAGCAAAATGTGTTTCTCTCAAATCTACTGCTCTGATTTCTGTGGGCGAGTACCTGTAAATCCCAGCAGATAAGCTGCAGAAACAGGGAGTCAGTTTAATCCGACTCATGTCATCATGATGACTCTTCAGTGTCCCTTCTGAGCTCTGCGGCGGAGGTGAAAACAGTGAAATGTGCACAGCTTTGCAGTTCTGCACTGATCAAATAAAATGTTTTATCAACGTGTCTACAGATAGTTAAATTGCTTTATGATACATCCTGAACTTTCAAGGACTTTTGGGGACACACGTCCGCTTATCACCTTGTATGATAAATAGTGTGTGTGGGGATATCGGAGGAACTTTTGCACTGTGTTTTATCTCTATATTGTCTGCATTGTATTGTTGTCTCCTCTCAGATCATAAATGTGCTGTGGTGGTACTACTTCTCCAAGCTCATCGAGTTCATGGACACCTTTTTCTTCATACTACGCAAGAATAATCACCAGATCACATTTCTTCACATCTACCATCACGCTACCATGCTGAATATCTGGTGGTTTGTTATGAACTGGGTACCCTGCGGCCATTGTGAGTGTTTTAACACAACTTCGCCCTCCAGTGACTCAAATCTTTCCACTAACAACATTTACTGTTTGGCCTTAAAGCGAGCTAAATAATTCAAGTGCTCTAGTGTTAAACCCATTAGCCCTTAAAACAGCCTGTTTTCCTCCACAAAGCTTTAACGGACACTTACTGACCTGAACACGGCTGCTCTGTGTAACATACTTTCTTGTGCTTCGATATTAATGTAAATTTTCAACAATGTTCTTACTCCTCAAAGTCATTGATGTGCCTTTTACTATTGACTTAAATATAACGCCATCTATAAACATGTTTAATTATTTATCAGATGTTCACTTTTATTATTTCTGTATTACTTTACTGTTAATGGCTTCTATTGATTTTACTTGACCTTTATAGAAGTTGTTCCAAACAGAGCAGACTAATGAAACGTTTGTTATTCCCTGTATGAGCATTGCTCTCTTGAATGCCTGACTGTTATTGCTCGCTGTAGATTAATAACGTACCGTGTCCCTCTTCTGTGTCTCCTCAGCGTACTTCGGTGCCTCCCTGAACAGCTTCGTACACGTCGTTATGTATTCTTACTACGGCCTCTCGGCCATCCCAGCCATACGGCCGTACCTTTGGTGGAAGAAGTACATCACACAGTTACAGCTGGTGGGTTCATCCTCTAGTTTCTTCCCAGTGGTGGAAGAAGTATTCAGATCAAAACAAAAGTATTGTCAGACAAAATATGATGTATTACACATACATTTACTGTATGTTATGTTATAGGATTACTATTAATGATGCATTAATGTGTAAGTTGTCATTTACTGTTGTAGTTGGTTAAGTGGAGAAAAGTTTAACTATTCTATATACTGTTGAGTTAAACAAGCACATTTTTTTCACTTTTATTGAAGAGAATTAATTCTTAATTAATACTAAAATGACTTTATGAGAAGGAGATTTTGTGCATTGTGTTATATTTTAGAAGCATAAATGAAAAATCTTATACTGTAAAGTAACTAGTGACTACAATAAATAACTGTAGTGGAGTAAAAAGTACAATATTTGCCTTTGAAATGTGAAGTAGAAATATAAAGAAGCATGAAATACAGATAATAATAAGTACAAATACCTCAACATACTACTTAAGCACAGTACTTGAATAAATGTACTTCATTACTTTCCACCAGTTTCTTCACTTATTTCTAGAGCTGCACGATATGGTAAAAACATCATCTTAAGATCCTCGATTATTGTGGAAATTATCATTCTTGCATCACAAATTTAATTCTCACTGAACAAACTATAAAAATCATGATGATGTGAACTTTTTTTTGGGTGTGTACCAAGAAGATTTGAAGGCCGAGGGCATCTCTTCGCCACTACAGTACCTCATTATAATGCTGTTTATCACATATTTTACCTTCCATCAAAAATATTGCAGCCTCTGCAGTTTGGACTTTGCACTTGGTCATATTGCAATTTCAATCATATTTAAATTAACTGTGCAGCCTTACTTATTTCGCCTATTATTCTTTTCAAAATGGATGTAAAGAAGTTGAAATAAAACATATTTTATGTCTTTGTCCTTTGGTTTGTATGTGATGATTGTTGATGATGTTGCTATAGAGATGTGTCCTTGGTCTTTTTCCTGTCGCACCCTCTTCAGCTTTTGATATAGTGCAGATGTGTGTGCTGTCCATTTAAGATATTTTAGGCTCAGGATCAATATTACGTTTCTATAAGCTCTCTGGCTCACCTTCTCACTCTAGTATGTGTCTGCATGTGTGTGTGTGTGTGTGTGTGTGTGTGGTGTTTCCTCCACAGATCCAGTTCTTTTTAACCATGTCCCAGACAATGTGTGCAGTCATATGGCCATGTGGCTTCCCGATGGGATGGCTGTACTTCCAAATAAGTTACATGGTCACGCTCATTTTCCTTTTCTCAAACTTCTACATTCAGGTTAGTCGTTTTTCCCATTTTAAACTATTAATTAATGAGTTTAAAAAGATAAGTCTGGTGTCATTTTCTCACTGTCAACAAATCCCATGCAAAGAAGAAAACTTAAGTATTAAGTATCAAGTATTGTGTGTGTATCCAAAGCCACAGACGTCCACATCAGTGAGTCACATTATTGGACTGGGTGGCGCTGTAGTTTATTTTGAGTCAGCCCCACATACCATCCTGCTGCTGTAAATACTCACTAGAGCACCAAATGTGTATCAATCCCTGCCAGAAAATAGTCCCCGACAAATACACAATTTAGTCCCGTTTGAGTAACAATTGTCCAACTTTATATTAAAGATATAAATCTTCAGTTAGAAACAAATAGGTTTGTGACTGAAAGGAAGTTGGAAAGTATTGAATGACAAACTATTTTTCATTGTTGGTTTTAGTATTTCAGGATAAATGTTGACTGTGAGATAAATAGAGAATGACACCAGCCTCATCCACATGAATGAATAAAACTGTATATTTTTTGTTTTTATATAGATCAGAAGCTAAATATGATTTATAGCCTGTACAATACTGAGAGAGTTTACATAATAACATGTTTTCCAAAAGGTAATTTTCTCATTTTAGGAGAAAAATAAACTTGTCAGTGCTCTCTGGTGGACAAACTCTGTAAAGGAGATAATGTTTATAAATGATTTCCAACATACATTTTTGTTTCAGTAACTACATTGAACCTGTAAACCTCATTTATAACATTATGTGTACATAACATGTTCTCTCTCTGTCTCTCTTTCTCTCACACAAGACTTACAAGAAGCACAGTGCTTCTCTAAAGGAGCACCAGAACGGCTCTCCCGTATCAACAAATGGACATGCAAATGGGACGCCATCTGCAGAGCACACTGCGCACAAGAAACTGAGGGTGGATTGACATTTGAGAAACCGCCACCCAATTCTCACTGTAGCGCGTTAGCTAATGCTGCTAGGAGGTATATGTATCTTCTTATCTAGAATAGTCTTGCACTCACTTGAGATGAAATAAGCCATAGCCACATGTATCCAGAGACTTTCCATGTTTTTACACACATTCCTACTCATGGTATTGCATCACTCATTAATATAGTTAAAGGAGAAGAGCATTGTAGTATTGATGACACTGCACAATATTGCCTCCCCCCCCCCCCCTCCCAACCCACCCTCTAGAGGGAATTCACTCCAAAGCAAAAATCTCTTTCTTGCTACCAGCAAACAAAAACATTTTGACTTATTCATTGTTGCTTTACACGCAGAAGGTCCAAAAATGAGCTCCAGTGAGTGTGTTGGCAGCTTAAGGTTTTATCACACTCGATGACATCTCGGTTTCAACAACCTAAGGGACAATTACACAGTGCTTACAGTCCTAATTGTGTAACTAGAGCATGCATCTTGTGTCTTGCTTTATCTCACTCCTGCCTGGGCTGTTGCATAATCCTACATTTTGCCCTGTGGAATACTGTAATGCATTTTTATTGACAGGTTATGACAGCAAAAAGTAGAATTTTGCTGTATTTTTGCAGAGCAGGGTCTCCAATTTGGAATATGTAGCCATCTAACCAAAGCCTAGTGTATTGTATATGCAAGGATTCATATTTAAACCAGTTTAAGACACAATGTTAGAGGGCAGTTGTGTTAAAACACATTATAAACTCAATTCTCCTTAACATCCCCCACATTACAATCTGTGCTATATCTACTGTAGCTTTATGCAGTAAATGCAATTACCTGCAATTCATTTAAATTTAATTAAGTAAGGAAATGCCCATTAGGTCTGCAGTGCAAGTGCTTACTGGTAATATGTAGGTATCAAATTTATCAAGTGAATGTAATCATACTGTATAACTCAGTGCTGAATACTCAAATACGTTTATATCCAGATAAACTTTACTATATAGTTAAGAATTAAAGCTCGTTATCGACCTTGAAAACAGCAGTCAAAAAAAAAAAAAAAAAAGAATCTCACCACAAGATCCATTTAGTAGATGCTCTGGAGCTTTCGATTGTCACGTGATCTTCCTCAAATCCACAGAAATAGGGGGGGAAAAAACAGGGTAAACCCCCATCTGCTGAAGAAGATCATGTGAAACGATCAAAAGCTCCAGAACAGCTACTAAAAGGATCCTGTTGTGGAATTGTTTTAGTTAAATATACAGTTAGTTTTTATTTTACATAAATAGGGTGCCTTCTGGACCAGTTGGTTTCTAATGTAGCATTTTTTCATCTTTTCAATATGCAGATTTATGTCGGTCCATTTTAGACTAACATGTGTCAAACTTCCTGTTCAAATCCTGTGCCTGACTCTTTATGTTTCTTTTCTTTTCTTCTATATTGAAAATATCAAATGTCCCAAAACTAACTGGACTCATACTAAACACAATAGGGGATCTTAAATTAAAGGAATAGTTTTGAAATATGCTTGTTCCCTCTCTTGCTAAGAGTTAGAAGATTATACCACCCTCATGTCTGTATGATATGAAGCTACAGCCAGCAGCGGGCTACCTTAGCTTAGCATAAACACTGGGAACAAGGGGAAACATCTACTCTGGCTATGTCCAATAGGTAATAAAATCCACCTACCAAAGCCTCTAAAGCTCACTTTAGATCTTGTTACCTTTGGAAAGAGTCTGGCTATAACTGTTTCCCCCTGTTTCAGGTCTTATGTTAAGCTAAGCTGGCCATCTGCTGGCTGTAGCCTTATATCATACAGACATAAAGAGTGGTTAGCGGATTTCCCAACTATTCCTGTAATATAAGATAAACATCTCTATTTCGTTTACTACATGTTAAGTTCTTCTTCTTATCTAACTCTAGGAAAGCAAATAAGTACAAACAGCAAAGTCATTACATGAGAATGAATTGGGTTTTTTGGTGGTGAAAGAAGGTTGTAGTGATTCAACTATTTACTCCTTTGTGTTCCTTAATATGTTAATGTTATTTTCTTTAAAAACCCATTGCCCGGGGGCCTGCACAGTAAACGCCGGTATAGAAAACAAAAAGGTACAAGGATGTTTGAAACATGGACTCTATAAATCTGACACCCTCGCTGTGGTGCAGTGCTGTGCTGCTCTACCATGCTGATTCAATTTAATGAGGTATACTGTATGGCCTTAACCACTGAATGAGCATGACATATTGCTCCAATGTATAGGTGACCTAGTTTCACATTCACTGCATCAGAAATTATTGTTAAAATCTAAATAATACATGCAAAAGCCATTTTCTCTGCATGATTAATCTGGTCCACAGGTGTCAGCTGATAACAGTAAAAACCTGTTTAACATGCATGAACCATATCTACTCTCAAATTGAATTATGGTTCATTTCCAGCTACATGCCATCCCTGTTACGGTTTCTAATTTGCACATGATAGCGCTGAAGGTAACAGGGTTGAGGCTGTATATTTAAGGACAGGAGTAGCATTAAAGTACTCCCCAATTAATAAAAGGCCAAGGAAGCATACAGGTATGTAATAAGACATTACATACATTTTATAAAGTGATAAAATAAATGAATATATTTTCAGAAAATTGGGGTAAATCTGGGTTAACATGTTGTGACTCATGCTTTACTCGCTGTAACACATTAAAAACAAACTGAGATTGTAAAACCTTCTTGTTTTCAAACTGTTTTCCTTCCCTGAAAATTATGTTAATGCTACCGAAATTGCTGCTTGGAGACAGAAAAACAAAAACAAAAAAAAGTGTAGAGCAACAGAGGTGAAAGTTCATTGAGCCTTAAAATGATTTTGAACTTTAATTATCTCTATTTAATAGTTTGGGAAGATATTTATTAGCCATGCTAGCGGCTACAGCGATTGTAGGTTTAGTCCTAATTAGCAAATGTTAACATGCTTAACTAATGAGGCAAAAAGTAAACGTTATAGCTTATTGTCATTGTGATTATGTTCGCATGCTGACCTTTAATAAATATGTTAAAAGGCAAATCTTTAAAAAAAAAAAAAAAAGAATAGCAACTATGGTTTATAAACATAAGAATAATTCAGAGAAGCTTTTTGAATTAAAGTATTTTACAAAATGTAATTAAAGATTTGAGGTTTGTAAAGATATCCCCAATAAAGACTCTAAAACTATAAAACCATCACCTCAAAGGCACTTTATTGTGCATTTTACTTTAAACCAAGACTTATTTACGTAGTAAAATTAAGCGATGTGAATGTTAACAAGAAAAAAGGCCATTACTATTGTGGTTATTTTCTCAGGTGAGGATGTCTCAGTAAATGTTTATATGGAGAATTAAGGTTGTTTTACTATTTTAGATTTTTAAAATGCAATGAACCAATGTGATATACTGTAGGTTCTCTTAGTAGTGGAAGAAAAGTAAGATGTAAGAAGAGGACAGATGCTTTCCAAATTGAATCATTTTGGATGTTTCAATCTTTTGCTGCTCTCGTGCTCGTAAGTCTTAACGATATCTGGTTCACGTAGCTACCGGTCCAGTCAGCGACCGTCATCCACTGATGGTGGAAATGCTTTTCCTGACAGATCAAAGTCGTACATTGGCAGGTCGAACTCTGGCACAATGATTTACTATAGCAGCAGCTGTTCAAACATGGTGGCTGAAAAGCTCTGAATCATAATATTTCTTTATAGATGTAACAGCAGACTCGCATTTCCAGTAAAAAAAAAAAAAAAAATGACACATACAATAAATTGTCTAAATAAAAAGTGTTTTCTGTCTCATTTATTCCTCTCCTGGTCCATCGGTTAGCGCTCGCTCTCAGTGGACTGAGGTTGAAGTCAGGGAGGATGATGTCAGAGAGAAAACCTGCACAGCTTTCTCAGTTACACATGAATCTTTTCTAAAAAAAAAAAGAAAAAAGGGGCACAGTTTCCTCAGTCCGGATACCAGCTCCTGACTCTTTGTGAGCTTTGTAATGATAAGGCCTGAGGAATTTTTGGCATTCTTGGTCATAATAGCCCGATCTCGACTGTGTGACAGGTGTAGTTAACTTTATTTTGGTGTAGTAAGGACACAGGGCCAGTGAACAAGCAAGCAACAACAAACTGGTTTTCTTAGAAAGCCGCTCCTCTCTTCACAGCTGCTTTGACTAGCTCAGAGATATGTACTCTCTCTCTCTCAAAATGTTTAGCCAGTGAGAGTGTAGTCCTTTCCACTTAAGTGTTATGACTCTGACGTCCTCGTCTTCATCAGCACTGTGTGCAGACTTGATGCACTGGAATGCTGTGTGTCACACAGAGCTTGTGCTTGGAGGACAGAGCAACTGATTGTGAGCTTTGGTGGTGTGTCTGCTAGGTCGGCCACTATGCAAACAATGCCTTACTCACTGATTTTCAGAGGCCATAGCCTGAGGGAGACCGAGAGAGGGCGGGGCGATGGTGTTGAGGTTTCTCCCTGAACACACAGCAGTGCGGTCAGCGTGTGTCAGTTAACTCATTTCTACATAAATGATGGGTCGGACAACCTCCTAATGTATCTTCAACAAGAGTGTGATTCTCCAGACTGAGAGCTTATATATATATATATATATGTAAGCTTCAAGTGTAAAGCAACAACTCAACAGGGACAACTGTGTGTGAAATGCAACAGTTCATTAAGAGTTTGGAAAGAGGAATCCTTACTGTGCCAATTGAGGTTGCCAGGCAACCAGCCGGCCTCCAGGAAGTGACTGCACCCAAACGAGAAATAGTTTGTCACATGAACTCGTGTAAAACATTGGGTTGTGTTTTTAAATGCATTAAACAGGTGAAATATAACGTGTTAATTAATAAGCTTTAAAGGAAATAAGCTAAGCAGCTGCTGGTTGTAGCTTCATATTTATACACAGACATGATCAGTGGTATCGATCCTCTCATCTGTCCCCCTGCAAGAAAGCGAATACTACTCTGTCATTAATGTGAGATGAACATCATTATTGTGTTTGGTATTTGTCAATAACAATTAAAGTTTGAATATCTCAGCAAACAATACGCTGCCCGTGAGGGTTAACAAGCAATTCACTTTGAGGAGGCTTTAAGTATATAATCTTCCCCTCATTATGATCCTCCCACTGATTGCACTGTGCGTCTGCTAAAAAAAGAAACCATTACCTCCGATAATAAAGAAAACCTCAATCTGATTTGATTAGTTATTCTAGTCACGCTAACATTTGATTAATCATTATTAATACGTTTATCTTAAATTAAGTTTTTTATTTTCCTTTAATTGTGTTTTCTCCTCTTTATAATCCTGTAACAACCTGTTTTTGTTCTCTGGTTTGTCTATATCCACTTGTGTTATGAACAAAAGCAGCGATATACTTTAGAAACATTCACTTATTTTAATTGAGGAATTGCAACAGACTTTCCTTTTCGAATATTTTGAAAAAAACAACTATAGTAAAGTCAACAAGCCACAAATCATTTTAGCCTAATCCAATACAACTTTCACATTTATTTATTTTTCTCCGCAAATCCTGTTTATCTGTCCGTGCTTGGTTCCCAGAAAACGTAATACGTGGATTATACCCCTGTGTGTCCTCAGCAAGACAAATGATTAGAAGTCTGAAATCACATCAGCAATCAGTCTTTCTCTGAGGTTGTGTAATAGGATCTCTATAATGTTACTGTGATGTATAATTCTTTCTATAACCATGAGAAAATTGTTAGAGATATCTAGTAAAAAATAACCTGCCTGGGTACACTTCACTACCCTGAAGATTATATTTTAGTTTTAGTTTAAATTTACATCTGTGTAGTACTAATATAGTCAATATAAGTAAATATAAATGAAACTATAAGAGCATATTCTGTTCACCATTCTGTTTATTTGAGGGAGAAAGTGCACCATGAAACAAAAAACAGCATCAACATTCATTGCAAGGTGGGAAAGGTTGCTAATTATTTTAGCTCTCAGCACATAACCATAATTTCTGAAATCAGAAAATAAGTAGTATTCTATTATGTAAACCCGAAACATAACATGCTCGCATGTAGGAAACATGAGGGTTTGTTATACTGACACCATAATCCAGCTGCAGCACAAATTAAACAGGCTGAGGAGTATGCATTTTGTTAAAACGGTGAAGGAACTCTTGCTGTGGGTTCGTGTGCGGGTCTCCGTGCTGCTTAAAGCGGCTGATCGGAGAAAGCAGTGTAACTCTTGACACGTGCAAAGAGGAACGGTGAGTACATCCTGTCCAGTTCAAACGCCGTGACAACCGTTTCCCCAGTCTGCCTAAAAATATAATTTATGTTTAATCTGGAACATATAGAAAAACTTGTTTATCATTCTTCACTTCTGTTTGTACTCATTTCTTACTTGTAAGTGATGTGGCAGGAGTGGTGGATCCAGACAAGCTTGCTGAAACTCTGACGCCCCCCAGAGGACAGATGCAGTCCCACGTGGAAGCTGTGTTCAGCCTCCGGAGGTGGGTTCCGCCTGCAGAACCGATTCCTTTGAAACTCGGCCGCCTTCTGGAAAAAAAAATAATAAAAACAATACCACAGTTTACAAGCTGAGCCACAAAGTGACGAATGTCGCTATGGCATTACTAATTAAGGAGTAGTGCAGCAATTCATATTCGACTTTCAGTACTTTTATGATTAAAAGACCTGTTTCTTCCATTATCATTAAATTCTAAATGATTTTATATGAACTACAAGTACAAGTGTGGTGTTGTAACAGAAAATAATCCAAACTAACAGTGTGAGCAATTAACAGCTCCAAGATTTTATGATAAATTTAACATTGGTTTGAATAGCGAGGAGTATTTAATGCGTAACTTCCGACAAACCCAAAACACGCATGTCACACATTTCAAATTACTATCTTTCTTTCTTTTCCTTTCAATTATATGTTAGAGGCCTAATTCCACCATGTAAAGAAGAGAAGAAAGAAGAAGAGTATTAGATAAAATCATTTTACTTTTAATGTTCTTTCTTCTTTTTCTGGGGGAAATGAGTTTCCATAGTTAAGTTATTCATTTGTATTTGATTCACACAACTTTGTTAAAAAAAGATCAGTCAAACATAATAATACAGTGCATTTTTATGTTTAAAAAAAAAACGGATGGTGTATGGCGGCATTATTAACAAGTTACTATATCCTTATTTTAAGTAAACAAATAAGACAAACTCCCATCTGTAGTACAAAGTACAATCTTTCCTTTAATCTAACCCCAAACTTATTCTCACCTCCTCCTTTTTCTTGCAAACAACAGCAAAGACTTTGGTTTGATTGTCTGTCTCCTGTGACAGACGGAAATGACCGAGCAGAGCAGAATCCATTCTGTAAAAAAGGAACAAAAATTCAACAATCACGAGTCACAAGTGCTGCCACTCAACATGTGAAATTATTTCTGATATTGCAACGTCCATTATAGCTTTTGAGAGTTGGTAGAAACCAGCATGTACCTGGTGTTCCAAGTACGCAAGCGAGGAACAACAGTCAGAGGGTCCTCAGGGGTGGTCAGCATGATGACGTGGCCGTCGGGGAAGAACCGGAGGTACCTTTAAAACACAGTCAACATGGCTGTGATGACGCGATACAACTCACAATCAAACAACTACGATTAAACTCAAACGTCTACCTGTAGTACTCCACGTGGTGCCAAGCCCTGTAATATCCATCCAGAGATTCCTCTCCTTG